TCAAGATTACCCTTTAGCTCCTACTAAAGAAAGTGTACCCCAGGATTGGTTGAGTCCCTACCAAACAAATTTACTCGAATAGATGAAAAATCAAGACATTGCAAGACGTTCAATTGGAAAGACCAAAAAGTTACTGCAGACGCTGCATGACAAGTCAAATTATACAATTCATTACAAACTATTGCAATTGTTTGTTAGGTTGGGACTTAAAGTTAAAAAAGTGCACCGTGTGCTGAAGTTTGAACAAGAAGCATGGTTAGAACCATACATCACATTGAACACGACTAAACGACAACAAGCTAAAAATAAATTTGAGGAGGATTTGTACAAACTACTGAACAATTGTGCTTATGGGAAAACATGCGAGTCGAAGCGCAAACGGATGCTTGTTCGGATAGTTAGAGATTATCATGCCGCTTTGCGAGAAATTAGTGCATTCGAATTTAAATCCTACAAAATTTTTGGAGAAAACTTGGCAGCGTTCACTTCGAATCCAACAAAAATCTATTGGGATGTCCCAACAATTGTGGGAGCTAGTGTTCTTGAGTTAGCAAAGTTTCACATGTATAAATTTCATTACGATATAATGAAACCAAATTTTGAATGTCAACTATTGTATTCTGATACAGACAGTCTCCTGTACCAAGTCAAAAGTGAAGATTTATACCGAGAAATTTCCGAAAAAAGGAATATTTTGAATGAACTTGTCTTGTCAAATTACCCGAAGAACCACCCTCTCTACGACCCGAAAAACAAAATGGTTGTTTTAAAATTCAAGGATGAGTTTCCAGGAGACATTATAACCGAGTTTATATCCCTCAAACCCAAGCTTTATTCCATTTTGTCCAGAGGTAATTAATTTCTATTTGCCTTATTTGTGAGCACGAATTTCAAAAAATTTTGATTTTTTGTGATTTTTTTTTTCGGAAGGCAATTTTTATTTGTGGCCGAAAAAATGTAATTTTATCAAAAAAAAAAAGAAATTTGGAAAAAACTTTTTAGGCGAAAAAGTATAATTTTTTTTGAAATTTTTTTTTTGTGGGCGGTTTTTTTTTTGTGGGCGAAATTTTTTTCTTTTTTTTGGAAAAAAAAATTTTTTTTGTTCGAAAAAAAATTTCGGGCGAAAAAGTGTTTTTTGTTTTTAAAAAAAATTGGAAAAAACTTTTTAGGCGAAAAAAAATAATTTTTTTGAAAATTTTTGGTTTTTTTTTTTTGTGGGCGAAAAATTTTTTTTAAAAAAATTTTTTTGTCGGCAAAAAATTTTTTTTAAAAAATTTTTTTGTCGGGGATTTTTTTTTGTGTTGGTTGATTGTTGTTTTTTTTTAATGATGACTAATTTTTAAGGTCACACCTGGCCTTCATGTATTTTTTTTTTGTTGCACCTGGCCTTCAAGTTAACATGATGTAGCTCTTAAAAAAACATCGTATTTGGTTATTTTACCACCACACATTAGTGATCATCAAAAAATTGATTAGTAATCATATAAATAAAATTTTAGACTGCAGAAAATTATCGGCGAAAGGTGTATCCAAAGCTGCTCAGAAGATGTTGAGTCATCAGCGATATCGAGACACCTTGACCTCTGGCTCGTTATTCAAAACTGAAAACAGTCGAATCGCATCCGAGTCACACAATCTGCAAACAGTGACTTCGACGAAAACATCGTTATCAGCTTTTGATGACAAACGCTACATCCTCGATGATGGTCAGCAGACTCTTCCCTACGGTCACAAAAACATCGTGGGTCAAACTGTGATTGGCATTGATGATAGTGATGATAACACAGCCGCTGTTAATTCTGACCCAACTGACGATGACGATTTGGAAAAATGGATGCCATTTTTTGAAGATCGTCAACAACCAGTGTCGTGGGTTTGTGACGATTTCCTAGATGGGGTGTCTGAAGAATTCGCTAACACTCAAAACGTTGATTGGGACCATCCGGAAATTGATGATGAATACTCTGAGGATAGTTTTGCTGTTGAGAACACACAACCACATCGCTCGCTTCGACAACTGATGGACCAGGTCAATAGCAGTTGGCAAACTCCAGACCCCGGTCTGATTCGGGCAGCAGAAACCAACGACAGTGATATTGATAGCGGGGATATCGCGGATCTGGAGGCCAATACTTCCGATGAGGTCGAGTCGTCATTCTTCAACGATTCTTTTTTCGATTATGAAGCAGTTGAAGTAGAAGAACCACGGTCAAAAAATCGACGAATAGATTAAAACACAAAAAAACACCACATTAACTTTTGTATAGTAAATAAAATTCAGTTATTTAATATGAGAATTGTCTGTACATAAAATTTGACCTACCGCTATTCCGTGTTTAGTGTGTATTTAAGTGCGAGTTTTTGTTCAGCTTTGGAACTCAATTAATCTGGGATATAAACAATTTCATTTAAGCGATAGTGTCTTTAGCATACTTTTGTATGTATTTGTATGTAATTTGAGTTTGAATCAAAGTTTTAAGAAGAATTGAGCAAACAGTCTATAGCGCAGTTAAACACTCCAGCTGGTTTCAGAACGAAGATTTGGCAAATCCTTTCCCGCACCAAACATGTAACCACAACGTTCAGTGGGAATACTCAATAATATACCGAAGTTTTACATGAGGACTATTAGGTATAAAATTATACATGGTGACAATTAGGATTATTACATGGTGACCATTGCTGATCATTTAATACATGGTGACCATTATGATTTATACCTAATGGTCATCCATGTATGACAACCCCCCCCCCCCCCGATCCTAGTGCACTATATGCATACTACTAACGCGATTTTTTGTCAACATTTTTCAAAAATTGACCAAAAACGGCTTTTTTGACTGTTTTTTCAAAAATTTGCCTGCGGCGCAGAAAATTTTGCCAAAGTAGGGGCAAAACAGGGCTTTGGGAGTGCTCGAAAAATCAATTTGGTCGACCTAAAAATAAAAAAAGGTCGTCAAAATTTTGGAAAAATTTTTGAAAATCCGCCCCCCCCCCCCTCGAGAAAATCCTAGATCCGCCCCTGCAAGAGAGCATAAATAAATTACAGCTATGCTTCTACTGAATCTGCTTACAATGGTTGTGATTATTTCCTGTAGCTCGCAGTTTTTTTACCCACGGTTTTGAGGATTTTTTTCAATGGGCAACAAGAAAGTTCACTTGATGGAAGAACCTACATAACGAAAGAAAGCGGCTTTAAATTTTAATAGCAGTACCAAATTGCCATCCTTTTGCTTTTTTGTTGTTCGGATGATGTCAGAATGTATTTCAAAAGGTTTTGAAGATTTAAAAGGCTTTGAGAAAGGTTTTTGAAGAATTATAGGGTAGCGGTTAATCAATTCTGTCTATTCACTCTTAATATATCTTCTTCGTTAATAGAAAGTGTATCCAAGATTTCTTTTTCTTTCAGATTGTCCGAATCAAAATGGTGTGCTACTTTGAACGGCGTTTTTTGCCACGATGAGTCATAGTGCCATGTACATCTCGTGGTTTCTTTTGGATTCACTAATGTTACGTTTGGTTTCTTGTGTTAAGGAAAGTAGCAACGTTTCAGCTGGCATGCGGAAAATTTGTTGAGTGTTGATTGTTCAATTCGTTGAGGGGTCCGAGAATGCTCTCTGACTGTCGTTTTGCGATGATAGAAGATTATCCCTGAGTGATTGCAGTTGCCTTACATTTGCAAGAGTTCCACTGCGAGAGTTTCCTATTTTCAAGAGTTTTACAAGAGTTTCCTATTTTCATCGCTTTTTTTCTTGTTGTTGCTTAGCGTTCCGAATATTGGGCTTAATAATCTTTCTTTTTTCTTATTTTCAGAATACATTGTTAAATATGCTGTGATACTTTACATTTTATACCATGTAATATCGTCGTTTTGTGTTGTACAGAAGAAGGAGGAAGGAGTGGAATTATTTGGATGAATGGGCAGTTCAAGACTACCACAGGTGCCTTTTTGCCAGCGTAGCAAATAGCGTCATCGAGTTACATTTAATTTGCTGGAATCATTAATGTCTAACCTTATTTTTGGCGTATAAGTTATTTTTTTAGCTCTAATGAAGAAAAGATAATGAACCCTAGCATTTTTTTCTGGAGACAGTTTTTGAACTATCAATCAGAAGATTAATTGCACCACAAACACACTAACTAACCGAAGTTACAACAGTTGTTTATCTTATTCTCTTACAATAAAAAAGGTTTAAGTTAATACAAAATTTTTATTTTACAGCCGTATGTTGAGACCGGGGAGTCTTTTCATAAATCTAGAGTCTATGGGGTACGAGGATAGGTAGGATCTTTTATCAAGTTTCCAGTTGGAGATTTCTGCAACGTCACTCCCAAATCAGCGATTGAGTGCATGTTTGCGTGGAATTAAAAAGTCGAAACTTTAAAAGACATTTTTAGTGTCAAGTATGATGGACGGGACCCCAAAGTATACATGGGTTTCATTAAATTAATGTGCTTTAAATCTTCGGATTCAAGTTGTTTATTTGTTTTTTATTGCGTTTTTTGAGGTTCTAGTGAAAAAAGGAAGCCTATGTTTTTTTTTCGAGAGAGATCAAACTATCACACTAATGCCCACTTTTATTTCACACTCTCTGTTTCATATTTTGTCTTTGGAATTTGGTTTCTGAACTTATAGTTTGAACTCAATATTACTCTAATTTTAATCACAAATGAAAAAGATTATTGGAGTAATTTAGAAAGAGAGATAGAGAGAGAGAGAGAGAGAGAGAAAGAGAGAATGAGAGATAGAGAGAAAAAAAAAAGAGAGAGAGAGAGAGAGAGAGAGAGAGAGAGAGAGAACCTTCGAAAAGTTAATAGCAGTATATTTGAAGCTTTCACGACATTTCGTTTTCTCTAGCAATAAATCTTTTTTTGCGGTATTTAAGATAGTTACCATTTAAATAAGCATTTCAGCAAAAGTTGCCTTACTAATTCAGCATAAAAACTGACCATGATTTGCTAAATAAACAAATAACGTCAAATTTAACCTTTCTTTTATAGATAAACAAACTGAGTTTGGAACAAGTTAAGTCCTAAATTGCAATGAATTGTATTTTAACCGTTGTTGCTGTGTTCTCCTTCCACTTAATCTACTCATCAGGCTTCAACGACACAGTCGTAAATCCGGAAGTTGAAGATGTTCTTTGGACTTCCCAAACTTTTTTAATTCCGACTGGGCTCTCATTTTCTTCTCTGGACACGACAGCACTAGGTACAGCTGGAAGCACTTAAATTTTCTCAAAAAAGTTGACTTTTATGGACCATTTTAAAAAGAACTTAAAGAAAGCAAGGAATGTTTTTGTCTGCTTTGCTCAAACGACATTTTTTCCCTAACCTGATGTCATTTGACAAAAACTTAAGGAAAAATCCTTTGTTGACTGGATTAATTTTGTAATTGAATAAACTTATCATTGTTGCTTACGCGGATCCCCAGTCCTTTTGCAGTCATGCCCTCATAGAAGCTGTATCTGTTGTAACCATCCAGTGAACAGGGATAAAGACTAAATTATGAGTTTTTTGATTTCGCTCGTGGTGGCGAATATTTTAGATTTCAAGGTGCTCTGGTCCGGACAAATTCGAGTCAGATGGCACGAAAAGACAAAAACACCTTAGATAATAAAATATTCGACTATGAAGAATACAAGGGAATTATCAAAATGGCTAACCATTTTTTCTTAAAAGGAGGGATTTTAGAGGCAATTTACGATCATTAAATCCAGCGTGCGTCAGTTTCGAGGCAACCTTTAAACTTGTTGAAGAAAACTGGAAAACTTGGGAAAAATTTGGGGGAAAACCCTGTTCGTAATAATCTTATCAAGCATATTTTCATTTCATTATGACAAGAATAAACTTTTTTTTTTCGAAAAAGAATAAAAAATTTATTTTTGGGGAGGGAGAGGCCCCAAAAATGCGAAATATAAAAATGATATTTGGATATCACTTTTCGCGAAAAGCAATTGGTTATAACATAATAGCTTCCATCTGTACGATGAGTAGAATCAATCGATAATCCTCGTTGGAGGCCTCCTAGAATGCAGGGAAGCAACCGAATGAACTACCAGCTGCGTTCTCAGTGGCGGCATCGCAACGAATCCTACGAGGCTTGTGGGAGGTACAGTCGCTTTTACTGCCTGCACGCGTACGAGACAGATGCAGAAGCTGTAGCGTTCGAATATACAAGCAGGCAAAAAGAGAAACGTTATAAATCAACATGAAGCATATCAACAAAGTCTTTGAAGTTACTAAGTATCTCATTTGCTTTAAGCACAAGCCCCACGGCCATTTGCTAGGATATAAAGATCAAATGGGTTATTCAACTCAACAATATTTTCATGAAGTGACTGCCCTAAGCGAACATGGGACCTTATCATGCAAAATCTTGTAAGTATTTTTGAAAAATCACGCATCCCTTATAAAAATATTTTGCAAGATCTTGCTAGATCTTCTCCAAAAAGTTTATTTCAATTTTTCCATGTAAAAGGCTCTATATTTAGTTTTTAATCAAAAACTCATAGCTGAATCTCTCAGAAGACAAAAATCAAGTTGGGCCAAATAACAACATAAATCGAATGACTTGCTGCCAGCAACTATAAATACTAAAAGCAAGAAGCAGAGAATTCACAGTAGTTTTTTTCAATTAATTGTTCAATTTCGTTTTTTTTAACAGAATTTTTGCGCAATTATAGTTTTTCTGTTGATTTTCCGACTTTTCTGGTATTTCTAGTCATTGCTGAACGGGATGCTTGCTTTCTCTTTGTTTCATTCACGATTGTGGTGGTGACTCATTTTTCAAAAAAGACAATTAGATTTTGATAAAGTTTTTGCGTTGCAAGAACCTAAAAAAACAACCTACAGACGCCGTTTTGGCTTCTTTAGTAGACTTTTAAAAAAGAACTCTTTAGCACTGAGCACGGACCATGGTGGGCCACTAACATCCGAGTTTCCGATTGAGAAGCGGATACGTAACAGTTCCTGCACGGTCAATAAACACATTTTCAACGAAATGTGTTGCTGACGGATTTTTTTTTTGTTTTTTTTTTGACGTGGAGAATAACGTGGAGGTTTTTTTCTTGCTTTTTGTTTACACATATAAAACTTCGGAAAAAAGAGCAGTTTTTTTACCAGATGAACACTTGCCATTTTTTTTTTCATTTTTTGTTGCTCTTAATTTTCTACTTTCCTGTTAGCTTCCATTTCATGTACTATCCTCTGTATCGATTTCGATAGAGTATCATCCGCGTTTATTGCATTATTTGCTGAATGGTACTCATTTTTCCATCAAATGTGAAAAAAGAAGTAAATAGCAACCATCACTGCCTCAAAGTCTTAGGAAAACAAACTTTGGATGGGACCTAAATGGTTTGGATTTTCTGTCTCATTAGTTTCTGTTTTTTTGAAATTATTTTTCTTTTTAGGCTTAGGGTCTCATTTTGAATGATTTTTTTGACATTGTTCATTACCGTTTTGCGAAGTGCAGCTTTGAATTTGTACAACTCTCTTATAAATTGTTGATTGGAATTGGTCAATACAGAGTTTAGCAGTAATCGTAATTTATCTCTTCATATTTGTAGTTCAATTTAAGTTTCAAGCTGTTATTAAAACATTTTTTTTCTTTCATTCTAATTTCTATTTTATCTGTGAGCCTTTGCTCTCAAAAAGCTAGATATTACAACAATAGTTTGTTTTATCCAATCTATTTACCCATGTGTGGAGAATTGTATCTTTTTGAAATTGTTTTCTTCAATTTTCGTTCCGACTATAGAAATTGGGAAGTTTTGGCATTTGGGGTGTTTTTGGCATTCGGGTGTGCTTTAGTTTTTTCTTTTTTTTCCTTTTTTGTTTGTTTTTCAAGCAAAATCAAGTACCACAAACAACCATCGGAATGGTTCGAGTGATATATCATATTAAATCCCCTTTACTTGCGAGTCAAGCATTTTAACAAATATTACAAAAACATCTCCAGTGTCGAGAAAAACCGGTACGAACTTTTTAATTTTTCGAGCGTTCAGGCGAATAAAATTCAAGCGAATAAAGAGACCGATCAGTCCTACAATAGTTAGTTATAAAGTTTTAAAACTAACCATTACTTATTTTTACTCAAGTGAAAATAGTTACCGAAAATTTCTAGCGCCTTCTGGGGAACAATAGTCTGAGAACGAATCCAAAAGAATCTACGAAAAATTTTAAAAAAATCAATTTGGTTATAGTTTCCATCCTTGTGATTAAATTGTACCACTGAAATTAGGGAGGAAAATTGTTTTCGGTTGTTTTTAATTGAAATTTTTGAGAGTTTTTGTTTCAACATTCAAGTCTAATTTCAGGTTTACTATAGGAAGATGAGTTTTTGTTCGTTCAGATCTTATCACGCTCAAAAACACACAGTTTGAAGTATAAACTGTTTTACTTTTCGATCATTTTGGTTCAAAAATTCTGTGCTACTTACATAGACAGCAACCAATTTTTTCTTGTTCTTGATATAATTTTTTTCGGGTCTTTGTTTTTGACTGAGATTTGACCAAGAAGGATAACTTGATCTTTTTCTAAGAACCTGAATGAGTTTTCAAATATCCATGAATGAAATGACTTATATGAAAAAAATTTCAGTTCTTTGTGGACAACTGTTCCATATGCCCATGAATAAAATAAATTGCATATACATTTCTACTTTTCGGCTGGAAAAGGTTGAAAAAGTCAAAAATGGTGAATGACTGGCAAATAAGTCACTACTTTCAGCTTTATAACTTTTCTCATTCTGACGACAACATAATGCAATGGTCATATTACAAGATCCAAGCTTCATGGGATTGGAATTAGAAAATAACCTTGAAGTAAATATAGAAAGCGAGTGTACTGAAGCATTGCGACCTATCTTCAGAAGACATAACTTGTTTTACGGACGCAGAACTTGCTGTGCGGGCCAATGTGAGAGATACCGAGAGCATGGTTTTTCTAGAATGATGATGACACTTCGCGAATACATTTCGAAGCTAACTGACTACTCTGAAACAGGTAAAGAGTTTTTCGAGCCAAGCTCATTATAACTAAAATAGAAATTTTTTGAAATGACAAGCTTGTCAGTGTAAACCTTGCTCTTGTTCTCACCCAAAAAACCTACATAACTTTGCATACGTTATTGAGAAAGAGTTATGATCAGTTTTTTTTAAAAAACAAAGCACTTAAACAAACTATTTTTTGCCTGGGCAATATCAGTGTGTACCTAAAGCTTTCAATGGCAAGACTCCATATGGTTAAAGTATTGGATCAATTGAGCAATCTCCCCCCCCCCCCCCCCGTAATGACCAATTGAGCTATCTCCCCCCAAGCAAAGACAGAAAAACGCTACAAAAAACGTCAACAAACGTTGATGTGTTCGTAGCACGCAATCAATTGACCGACTAAAATTTATTTTATAAGTATCGAGAAAAACTTTGAAAAATAGATAAATCGAAGTTTATTGAAAAAACTGTTTTTTTTCCAAATTTTTTTTGGGCAATTTTTTTTGAGGAAGGCGATTTATTAGGATTGGTGGGTGTTCTAGCCTTGTATCTGAATAGCAAAAACTGTTTTTCGGAGCATCTTAATATTGTACGCAATAGCTTTTTTTACTTTTAGGACAGAAAAAACCGCTTTTTTTGCCTCAATTTTTTAATTCTTTTTCCACTCTGAATGTAATTTGGCGTTCAACTTTCTTTGGAAAATCTGGTTTGTGACTTCGTGTTAATCAAACTGTTTTCAAGTGGTAATAAACATGTCTCAAGTACCTATTGAGCGGGGAGGGTTCTCATGCTTGAAGGACCGAATGCTTAAAAAAATTCAGTTCATCAAAATCGCTAAGCGTTTCTATTGGCTAATGCCTTTCTCACAAAATCGAAGTCAATATTAACCGAAAATGTTTTAAATCAGTCGAAAATAATCAAAAATAAGACAAATTGTGGGTTACAACTCTAGTACTATTCAGATAAACATTAATATTTATGAGTTCAAGTTCATAAGAACTTTTAATTCCTGAAAAATCATCTGCTTAATATCTAATCGGTCAGTATTAACACTATTGGCCTGGATTTATTTTCTTTCTTCGAGGTTTTCACGATTTAGTTTGAGATTTTGAATACTCAATTCTGATTGGCTGAAAGTAAGCTAAAATAAATTTCAAGCATTCGGTCCTTCAAGCATGAGGGACGCCACCCTATTGAGCTATCCCCCCACGCGAGAATGTGGGGCAGATTGCTCAATTGATCCAAAGTACTAGTTCAAAAAGCAGAATTATCAAAAGCGTTTTTCAACATTTTTTTTAAACTTATCTCATTGAAAGCTTGCAAAGGACTTAAATGAATTCAAACATAAAACCTTTTCAGCCATAATTTCTTCTTCAAAAACAAATGAGCTGGATTTTAAATTATTGTTAAATAAATGATACAAAAATTAATAATAATAAAAAAAAGAAAGACCGAAATGCTACTTATAATTTCATAATGTTTTGTTTCTGCCCTTTTTAGCATGTTTTGCACTTAAATTGCTCTCTATTAAAAAACAACAGGTAAAAGAAGAAAAATTCTGAAAAAAAATAAAAATTTGCGATAAATTGTTAAAAAGTTGTGATATAATTGTGATCTTCTGCCGCTTTTGTTACTTCCACGAGAAAACCGATTTCAGTTTTTTTCTTCAGATTTTTAGTTTTATCTGATAAAGAATAACGTTTTTTTTAAATTCTTTGCAAATTTGCATCTCAAAAAGGTGTTTCCTTTTTACGCAAGCTTTGTTTTTTATCATACTGTGCATGTCGAAATTTTTAGCTTGATTCTTGTTCAGTTATCTAAATATGGGAAGAAAAATTAAAAACTGTTAGCGCGTCTCCTTGTCTTAATTAAATATCATAAAAAAGGACAAATCAGAAAAAGCGTTTTGAATGTTTTGTTTCAAAAACGAACTTGAAGTAAGAGAATTTTTTTTTCATTGTAAATACAATTATTCCTTCACTCCTGTAAAACTTGCACACAGTCCACCCCTCGCAAAAATTCCACGCTATTTTATTTGATTTTGAATTCACTTTTTGAATTTCTAATTTCTTTAATTTTGCTAAGAAAACTGTTTTTTGGAATTTTTCTGCCTCTTTTACAGCAATAGATTATACTTGTTCGAACATTTTTAACTTCAAATCAAACAGTAGTACGCCGCTCAGCAACCTGAATGTTTTTTATTTTTTCCTCTATGACTGCAATAACAACTCTGTTTTATGCAACAGCTGCTTTGAACGTATTTGATCAAAATGCATACTGTCTAAGCGTCGAACGGTTAAAAGCTTGAAATCTGACATTGCTTCGGATTTTTTCTTCTTAGATTGAACGAAGGTTTGGTTTGTATTTTCTACAACTAATTTTTTTTACACTGGTAGCAATTTTCAAGGTAGCCTCGGGTGCTGTTGATTAATTCCTCTAGTTTGTAAATTTACTAATCCTGAGTAACCCTTTTCTTTTTTTTTCTTTTTTACTTGGCGTAAAAGATACCGTCTTATGCTTGTCGGTTTAGTAAACTTTTTTAACATCGGTTTGTTGACAAAAAATATTAAAAGGAATAAGTTTGTGTTAATCAAATCACGTTGGCTGTAGTATAGAAGTTAACAAGACTGCTCGTCGAACCAGGCAACAACCTGAATGTTCCGACTTTTCAAAAACCGGTCTCGAATAGTTATCGGTTAATGAATTTTTGATAAACTATGATTTTTAACCTGAATATTAAGTTTCTTTTATGGAATTAATAAGACCATTTAGCCTGCGTCAATTGATTTTGGACGAGTTTGCGGTGCGGGATAATTTCCCACGCGTAAATGATGCGCGTTAAGTTTTCAGCATCAAATTATCACAAGGCTCGTACAGTCACGTTAGTCTATAGTCAGGGGAAATCCTTTTAAAAATTGGTCCGAATCTAAAAAACGCCCCGAGCATATATAATCCTTAGTGTTTTTGGTAGTCTGAATAAAAAAAACGAACAGTTCAATCGCTCATTTTTTTTTATATCAGCTCTTTCTTTTGGCTCTTTTTTGTTTTCGAATCACTAGGCGTGTAACTACGGGTTGTCGGCTTAGTAAACGCTCGGAAAATCTTATAAACCATGTTTTTTTCAAACTTCATTTTTATGTTGTAATTACGAAGACTTCTTCTTTTTGGTACATGAATACTGTTGGACCCTTTAGAGTAAAAAACAACCCGTGTTGTGGTAGTTATGATTACCTTGCCTTAAAACGTGCCCAGGAAAAGTTTTATGTAAAAAAAACACAAAATGGGTGTAGAATTGAAGTGTAAGGACCGCTATAAAGTAATCATTAATATCATAAAAGAAGTTAGAAAATTTATAACTTTCACGTGCATCGACTCGATACATAAGGGGACCGATCATTTAGCAGACCAATCTTTTAGCCTAAAATGCGAAACGTGAGTATTTTAGCAGACCAACGTAAGAAACTGATGCATGATTGCTAGACAGACCTAAAATTACGCTCAGTCTTGGGCCAATTTCCCCATTTAAAACACTTATCTCACGAGTTATTAACAAATTTATTAACTTCAAAAATACAATAGTCTAAATTAGCGGCAAAACAAAATTTACGGGCGCACAACCACGCATTACCACGCACTACCACGCATTTTTGCGTCTTCAGAAGGATCAACCAGGGACCACAATTCATATCGCTCAAAATTTGTAATATAGAAGCAATATTTAAAAAATGTTGCAAATATCAACCAAACATTTATGATTCAAAACCAGTTTTTTCACCCAAGGCTAGAAAAAACAAGAATGAGTGGTCTGTTGTTTTTTCAGCTGACTGTAAATGTTTGCAAAATCTTGGAGCGAATCAAGCATGTATCATATCGCTTGTTCAGCAGTGATTCGGCTTCTTAAGAAATTTCAAAATGTGTGGTTTTCAGTCAATATTTCGTTGGAGGCTGGCCTACAAGTTTGCCTCTGATACAGTTTTAACGTTTACATTATCTATTGATTAGCCTTCAATCGCGTATTTTGTGTCTAATTCAATAATTGTATCTAATTTAATTCATAATAAAACAAAAAAATCTGATTAAAGGAAACTATAAAATGGGTTTTTTAAATCATTTTTTGAGTTATGATTTTGTTTTTCGAAATTTTCCTTCTACTAGTGTGATTGGAGCATTCTGTGTCAGTTATAACCAGCGATCTATCTTTTTTTAGGAAAGCAGTTGAATTACATCCGATCTTTTTTCCAACTTCGATGCCGAGTCAACGTTATCACGAAAATAGGCTTTGGACAAGGCGAACTGCGAAGACACAGTCATCCTTATTTGAGCTCCCTTCCTCTAGCCGGCTTCAATTATGTGCTGGGAATTGAAGATATTGATTTTGATATCGAAATACCATATGACAATCCAGAAGATTTTCTGACGTTCAAGTGGTTCAAGCACAACGTTATATGTCGAGATCAACCCTGGATCTGTGGCTATGAAGAAGCGGAGACCAGTATTAATACGAGTCCAAACAGAGATAGATCTGGTGTTTCCTCGCCAAGAGTTAATCTGGGTGGCATTTTTAGAGAAAGACAACCTTGAGCATCAATGAAAATATGTTCATTATAAGCGTCGTGTTATTGTTTTTGAATAAACTGCTTTTTAAAAGAACATGCTTCAAATATTTTACCATGATCAATTTTTGCAACCAGCTTTTTGCCATTTTTTTCTTAATAGCAAGGTTAAAGATAAAACATTCAAGTGATATTAGCAGAGATGGCTGGTGAACATTTGAGACCTTGCTAACTATTCCCTCCTTGGTACCATGTAACGAATCTCTCCCACCTCACTATAAAGAACGAATTGAACAGTTAAGCATATACGAATTTTGTACCTTGTTAACTATTCTCCCCTATTGCAATATTCGACAGTTATTGGCTCAAAGATGCTTTCTCCTTCTTCTATCTCACATTTGAAATCAAATACCAAAAAATTATCAATACTTATATGGCTTTTGTCTATTTCAGCAAAAACTTTTTTAAGCGTTTGTGGAAAATTTTGGCGTGTGAAAAAATTTTATAAACAAAATCAGTTCAACGTAAAAAAAAACACACTCCTTTTAAAATATTTGATCCACAAGTTTTGATCTACTGGTACTGTAAATAAACTGTTACCATACCAAAAAAATTTTAACTAGTAAAAAATAATTCACAATTTTGCTGTAAAACGACGGATTAAAAAGATTTTAAAAAATGAATGTTTAAAATTTTCAACGGTAGCGCACCTAAAAACTCTCCATCGAGACATACTTCTCCAATTCCCGAGAAAGGCCCCAATCTTTAACAATGAAACATATATACTTAGGTAAAAAAAGTTCCAAAAAATCGAAAGTGCCGAATTTTTTGGAAGGCTTTTACAAACAAAACAATTTTTGGGTGCGCATTCAGCATCTCAGTTCAAACGTAAATAAAAACTGATTTCTTTTTGGACTGATCTTTGTTTTGCTAAGAAATTCGACAGCATTTAATTTGAAAAACTAATACAGTTTTTGGCAAAAATGAACAAAAGAACAAACAAATTGGCGTATTAATTGACATTTACGTAAAATGACAAAATAACAATGAAGAACCTAAAACTTAATATAATAATGAGAACAAAGTTGAATAGAAAACATCAAAAAGAGCATTATGTTGTTTCAGGTTGTTTTTCAATGAAAAGTTTTAAGTTTCGTTTTTAAGGTAGTCTTGATTCTGAAGCATTTTTTTTGTAAAATATCTTTTCGCTTTCTTTTTCCAATTTTTAACTTGCCAAAGAAACAATTAACAAAAATTGGGAAAATTGGGAGCTTGTACCTTGCTGGTTTGAGTGGATATAAAATTTTACATAAATAAGATAGTTATCACTTGGTGGTTTGGTGAAATATCAAGAGTGCCTTTTATGAAAAAATGGTTATCATACAATTTTCATATATGGAAAGTGTATGATAACCATTTTTTTTAGCTTCAAGCTAAATTTTCGTTTTTGATGAGCAAGGTGCTTTAAATTGAGCAAAAGCACTCTTAATTACTTTAAGTTTGATTAACAACAAGTTTTAACAAGTTTCTGAAAAAACTTGCCTTTCATGAAAAAATGGTTATCATACAATTTTCATATATGGAAATCGTATGATAACCATTTTTTTTCCAAAAAAAAAAACAAACGTAGTTATTTTTCATCACCAGTCTGTTTTATTTGGTTGAAATAGCCGGAGAAACTAGATTGAATCTTTTTTCAATGGTTTTTTGAAATTGTATGAAAATTGTATGAGTACCATTTTTCCATACATTTGATGTAGGCAATTGTATGATAAGCATTTTCGGTGTGGGGAAAAGTAAAATAAGCATTTTCGGTTTATGGAGGTCAACCCGGGTGAAATCGCGAACTTTCAAATGATAATAAAAGATAAATATGTTCATTGGTGTTCCGATAGGCCACCATATACGTCACCATAAGCAAACTATTTCATAATCAATTTTCTCGCAAAAACATCAATAAACAAATTGCGGCGATTGAAGCTTGGATAACAGCTTTCAGTTTGTGGTATACCTGGATTTCAAAATGCAAGTATACTGCAAAACTGATAATGACAAACTGTGTAACCCATTGAGTTTTCAACGAATAATTATTGTTGGCAGTGAAAAACTCAAACAGTAGAAAGAATACAATAAATTTGGATTTTATTTTTCCTCGAAGGTTGATAGTTATGAGTATTTTCAGCCACGTAAGTGTCCGGGTCCGCTTGAGAAATTGAGATTTTCAGGCCTTTCATTTCGTGCAGCCCGTGTCATGCTAAAGTGTGTGTGTGTGAACAACTGTTCAAATTTAGAATGTTTCAAAATCAAACTGAAAGATTGTAAGAAAAACACTTTTTTTCAAAATGTGAAGACCCCAGAATTATCAAAATTTTAATCTTTATGCAAAGTCTAAATGGTTCTACAACATTACATTATTCAAAATAACACCAAAACGCTAGGCAATCACGATGTAGCGACGAAAATGTGGCGTCCATTATGCTCTATTAACTACTTCATCTTTATCGTTCTGTAGTACCAGTTATCACATACATTGGCAACTCCTGACCAAATCGCAGCTGCACCAATTCAAAACCTCAGCTGTACATTGCAAGCTTTTTTGATACCAACAAAACATTCTCTTATGTCTTCCAGTCAGAAACCAAAAAATCACTTTTTGAGGAAATTTCGACTCCACAGATTGAAAGCGCAAACTATAAATAGAGGATTAGAATTACTCGAGGACCATGCAAAATTTGAGTCGGAGTAGCCCTTATTAGACCCGTTGTTCTCGACTCTGCGTTAAAATTTTAAGCGTATTTCGGAATCCAAATGATAACTATAATGACTGAAAGTGATTCAATATAAACCTCCAACTTTTGCAATACAGACTTTTTGAGTTGCAAGTTGTTAAATACTCACCGTACGCCATAAACCTTCACTCTCTGTATTAAAGTGGCGAGAGCATTTTTTGTGATACTCTATGATTATGTAAAAATTTGAGAGGGGGAGTAGGGGCGATTCAGTAGAGCTAAACTTATAAACGGAGCTATTTATTAAACTTGCGTTAATTTAAAAAAATCAAATGGGATCTATCTATATCTCATAAAATAGCTTCAGATAAAGCGCAACTTCTGTATGTTATTCTAACTATTTTCGGGTCAATAGGTTCGATCGATGCTCAAGGGTAAAACTGATTTAACTCTTTCTTTTAATTTCCTGAATTGTCACAATAGATCTGCAGGAGTTAACGACAAAAGCGAGATCATGTTGACCCAATATTTTTTCGCATGCTAAAAATGATGGCTTGATCCGTCAAACTGATCGAAGCATAACCCTAATGTGTGCGCTTTAGTGATGAAAACTCAGTAGTAACCCTCATCTAAGAAAAAGGAAAGAAAACGATTTTAATGGGTTTTCGTGGTCTATAATATTGTCAATATAATCGATTCCCAATGTTACGCGCAGACAACAAAACAGGACTAAAAAAGAATTCAGTTTCTTTTTTCCCTGCAAAACATAATGCATTATAATTAATTTGAAATCCGTTATAATGGATGATATAATTAGTAGAAAATCCTATTAAAATTGATTTTTTTTCCATTTTACTTATGTTTCGCGCCGAGCAAAATTTTGCAAAAACTCTTTCATTTATCAAATGAGTAATACAGAAACTTTGCAAAGGAAGTGTACGGTCTACTCCATCTTTCTAAAATTAAACTTTCTCAAAACGCAAACGATTCCGTTAACGTTTGCCCCTTTGCCCCCTTACAGCCCCCTCCCTCCAGCTGACCATGTGAACCATCTCCCCCCCCCCCCCCCCAACTGAACCACCACCAACCGCGCCACCTCAATCACCCCCACCTAAACAACCACCCCCCCCCCCCATCTAAACCACCCGCCCCCGTCCCCTGACCTGAACAACGCCCATCCCCATATGAACCAACCCCCGCACACCTGAACCACCAACTCCTCCACCCTGACCATCTGAAGCACCCCCACTCACCTAAACCACATCCCCATCCCCACCTAAGCCTGAAGCAACCCCACCCACCTAAACCACCACCCAACTCCACCCGACCACGTGAGCCACCACCATATAAACCACCACCCCAACCCACCTGACCCCGTCAACACCACCCACCCCCACTTGATCCCCTCAACACCCCCTCACGTAAACGAACCCCCCCCCTCCCTCCCTCCCTCCCAGCTGAATCACCCGGTGAACAAAATTGAGAAACTGAGTAACATACAAACAATAACAAAAATCAAATCTGCGAAGAAAAGAAAAAAGATAAAATTGAAACCACCACCACTTTTCTAGTCGATCTCAAAAAATTTCAATTTCCACAATTCCTCAAAATTCTCACAATATAAAACTTTATTTTTCAATTTCCTATGAAAATCATTTTTGATCAATTATTTTGCGCCGCCGAGAAGTAGATCAAGTAAAGGTGAGAAGAGAGAAGACTACTGCTACAGATGCCTCGCGCCAATGACACAGCAATAAACAGGATTGTGGAGTGTGTGCTTCAACTGAAACATATGGCCAAGCATGTGAGGAAGACGAAGAGGGGATGGGAGTCTGAGTACTTGGCCGAGGTCAACGAAAAATCAGCTGAGGCATGCAAGATTGGTGATATGAGGGCTGTCATACCTCTAAGCATGAGCGTGTTGATTATTGAATCCCAACGGATTGATAAACGAGATCTCTAGTGTAAGCATGACAAAATAACTATTTTTTTAAAAACCTTGTATTGGCTCTGAGCTACTGCTCGTCTTGATCACTGGCTTAGATCCTAACAAAGTCAAATTACCAAACAGAACATTAATTTACACTGTGAGTTTAAACATAATGTATATATGAGATATATCAAAGTTTATCAATCCGTGCCGGATGAAATTCCCCCTGGAAGAGAAAAATGAAGAATAAATGTTTTTAATCTGAGTTTATAGTCCCTGGGGGACTCTCTCTCTCTCTCTCTCTCTCTCTCTCTCTCTTTCTCTCTTTCTCTCTTCTATTTTTCACTTTTCTGTCTTCACTTTACTTTCCTGGTCTGTTGAGACTTCATGCCTTCCTTGTTGTTATTGTCATCTTCTACTTGTTTCTCGTGTTCTTCATGTGTCGTCTCGTTTTCCTTTTCTTTTTCGATATTCTCCAATTCGTCTTTCCTTTCGA